CAACCGAATCCACCTGGATAGGACCACATACATCAGAGTATATGACTTCAATAATTTCCTTCGACTTACTTCCTGCATCCTTGTTAAAGTTATTCTTGTGTTGCTTTACCTGCACACATTCTTCACACATTTCATTTGGAATGTCAATTTCTGGTAATGCCGAAACCATATTTCTTCTCGTCAGATCTTTGATGTATTTAAAGTTGAGATGACCAAGTCTATAGTGCCATATCCATTCATCCCTGTTGACTGCAGTTGCAAGGCACTTATGCTCCATCACATTTAGTTCAATCTTGAAGGTTCTATTCTGAGACATTTGTTCCTTCAAGGTTAACCTACCATCTAATTCGAGAACTCTCATCATTTTGTCTTTGATCGACACCTTGTAGTTCTTTTCGAACAACTGACATATACTTAGTAAATTGCTCTTCATGTCTGGTATGTATAACACATTGGAAATTACTGACCTTTTGCCATCTTTCCTCATAATCAAAACATCACGAATACCTTCAGCTGTTAGAGTATTGTCATTTGCAAATTTCACCATGTTCTTCATTGAGGGCTTTATGTTGACAAACCAATATTTCCTACCGGTCATGTGTGATTAGCAGTCTGAGTCCAAGTACCATTGGTCCTGGAATCTTTCTTCATCTCTTGTTGTGACCATCTACAACATCTCTCCTTCTTCATATTTCGCCAGCTTTGTAGTAGTTTCTTAATTCTTCTGCTTTTCAAGACAATCACTATAATAGTGACCATACTTCTGACAATTGTAACACTAAATGTGACTTTTGTCAAGTTTTCAACCACCGCCTCCTCCTCTACTTGTTGCACCACCTCTTTGGTTGTTTTGGTATAAGAACTTTCTTTGATTCGACCAGCCTCCTTCTTTTTGATTTCGACCAGTCGAATTATTGTAGCCTCTTCTACCTTTGTTGTCATTCTAACTTCATTTGCCTTTCTTTTTATTTTGTTGATTACGCCTGTAAAGCTATATCACTATTTGACTTGCCTACAACTCTTTCAGTCATCCTTTGTTCATGAGATTCAAGCGTCCCTTGAAGCTTTTCCTTTTTCAATATTGACAAGTTTTAGACTTTTCTATGGCTACTACCATGTGGTCGAACTTTGGAGTCAATGACCTCGAGATCTTTGCAACAACTGATCTTGATGTCAACATTTTTCCACATATCTTAATTTGATTCGCTTGTTTTGTAAATCTAGTGAAAAAATCGGCCATGCTTTCATTATCTTCCATCTGAAGCAATTCATAGGTTCTTTTGTGAGTTTGTAACCTCACCTTTTTTGCGCCTCCAAACGATTTCTCTAGAATTTCTCATGCTTATTTCGTAGATTCTACATCACTAGCATTTTCAAAATTATCTGGATCAATGCATTGATGAATTATAAAGAGAGCTTTATAATCTTTCTTCCTCAATTCTTTGTGTGTGGCCTTTTCTTGATCCAACACGTTTTCTACAAGTAGTGTTACTCCTTCCTTTACAAGATCCCAAAGATCTTGATAATAGAAGAAACCTTTCATCTGCTTCTCATAATTATTTTTCTTGAGAATCAGAAGACTCGCCAAAAAATGTTTGTTTGGGTGATTCATTGTCATCGTAATTTTCTTCCCACAGATCTCCTAGCCAGTGCTCTAGATACCAGATGTTGGAAATCCACCACAACCTATAGAGAATTTCTATCAATCTTGATGAACAATATTATTATCGATACACAATAACAATGAAAAGAAAGAAAAGCTATAGAAGAAAGAAAATTAGGGTTTGACAAAATATAGAAGAAGGTGGTTATTCTGCAGAGTAACTCTCTACCCATAAACTGTGAAAAATTTATTCACTTTGCAACTGCAAAATTCTGTGAATTCAAGTTGTTACAAGAATAAGGGTTACTCCATCTATTTATAGTTTTAGGTTAGCTTGCTCTTTAAGGCAAAGTCCAAAACACCCAAAATACCTACTTTGGTCTAAGTCAAAATCTTGTGACAAGCAACCTGCTTCGACACTTCGGCACCTAATACTACTCGACACACACTACAAGTTTCGTCACATCCTTGTTTTTGTCGAATACTACCTGCTTCGACACAAGGAATTACATTCTCAATAGGATACACATTGTTTCATTTTATTAAAATTAAGGTGAGTTCGAAAATGGTTATCCAAATAAACCTCTCCCATAATTTTTTAATAATATCAGGTAAATTCGAAAAACGCATTTCCGAATAAATCATTGTTAGTATTTTTTTTAAAGAGAAATGATAAGTTTACACTGAATTTGACCTTTGCACTATATATTCTTACGATAATGTATATTTTTTCTTTTATTTATTATTTTTATAAAAATTGGAATTTGTGCCAACTCAAAGTGAAGCTTAAAAGCCACGGTGTATGTATATGGTGTCATAATTGCTATGCCAATATATCATTCTTTTTTTATAAATTGGAAAATGTATTTTAAAATTCATTTATCATTGTTCACACAACACTTGTTATAGAAACAAAACCTGTTATGTAGGACAAAAATGTTGAAAATTTTAGGAAACTGAAATACACGTTAAAATGCACCAAAATGTATCAAGTTTACATAGTTAATATCAATTTAACATTAGATTAAATACAAAACATTGTATATTTGCTTTATATTTAAGATATTTTGAGTTCTTTTCTGTTTCAAAGTTACAAGTATGTCTTAGGCTGCATCATGTTCAATGTCATATCATAAACGATTTTCTTCTTTTCGGTCACAAGACGGCATGTAATGAGATGATCACCTAAATTGCGACATATGTCATGATTATGTGTACCGCAAATTGCATTAAATCTCCATTTATTATTTTCCAAAAGGTACTTAAAATGGATACTCACATTTCTTCGAACCTGTGTCATCTTGTTTCAACTTCTGAACGAAAATTGTGTAGTTGACACTTCTTTCGCATCTTAGTGCCACATATGCAAGTCTTATATCTGAACCATTATTTAACTTACCGATTACAACATTGAATTCCAATTTGTTAGCCTCAGTGTGGATTCATTGGAGCACATGATCACGAACAACAAACTCCTGTTCATTTGTAAATTGATTGCCAAAATTACCTTGACATCAACCGGTTTGACATTCGTAGACACAATAGATTTGGGAAAAACATCATGGTGCACCATATCTAACGCCAATTATAACAGAAAATATTCAAAAACTGTCTAAATTCAACTCTGAACTAACTCGAAAATACACTTCTGAATGACATTCAACAAGAATCCAAAAATACATTTTCAGACACAATGTTCGTTTTTCATAGCAAAAAGCATATTAATTATGGAATGAGGAAGGAAATATATATTACCTTAAATTCTAGCTTCTTTTTTTCTCTTTTGATGTGAAAAACAGACAAATGATGTTTTAGTGTAGAAAAGTTGGAATTTTTTTTCTGTTTCGAAACAAAAGTTCCAATCGAAGTGGATGCAAAGATTTCGAAATCGATCGAAGATATTATGAAGATGTTAGAACGTCCATCTAAATATTAAAATGTAATGTTCGATTTCCAATTTTTTATGTTATAAATGTTAATTTTAATTTTCATTTTGCGTTGGAACTTATTGGCTCTACATTTATTTCTGCTTCTACATGATTAGAAAATATATCTTCATGATGTTTACGAAGATATATTTATGGGAGTAAATTAAACAGAAATTTGAGACGTGACTCAAAGCAGAATGGGTTGTGTGTGTTTGGAATGCATTGAGGGATACATCTCCAAATTCTAAAGTATTTTAGATTTTTCACTAGGTGAGATTGTAAAATCATCCATAAAAAGATTTTGACTCAATTAAAGACACTAAATTTCTACTAAACTCTCCAATTACCTTATTCACATAGGTGTGAAGTATTTGTAATGACTTCCATGGTGTGCTAGTATGTGATCTAACATTGTGCTTTCTATAGTTGCTTATAATCTATTTAATTGGTAAAAAAGTGTTTCTTTTTTTTTAATTTGATGATCTACTCAAATTTATGCTTAAATGTTAATTGACCTCTTAACGATTTACTCTAAGGTTTTTCCACTTACGATGCATCTATAATCACAAATAGCCATGCCACTCACATAAGTCGAGAAAGAAAACAGTTGAATCATATAAGAACAAGTAATCGTGGTTACTGCAGAATTCTATAGACAATTTCATACTATATTTAATCACCAACACAACTTTGCAGATTGTGAGACAAAAATGGATAATAGTAATAATAAAATGATGAATATGATAAACCAAAAAATGACTACCGTGTTCAATTCAATCATAAAAAAATCCCACTACAACTTATCAAAAGGATCAAATTGTTGATGTATTAGGTGCAGTTATGACATCTATGATTGCAAATAGAAATCATAGCACTAATAATCTTATACATCAAATAAGTAGTAGCTTTATGCTTATATGATTCTTAGAGGAACATAGAATCTAGCACGACAAGGGGAGGCCATGGCATAAGCAGAAAATTTAAAACTCGTTCATAAATGTAAGTAACTTTTTGCATAGTTTGTATATGATTGTGTTTGATAACGATTTCAGGACCGAGCATTTGGCGCTGCAGCCAAACTCCTTCCCCATGTACTTGGCCTTGAGTTTGAAACCAATTTCCACATTAACAATCCAAGGTGGGTTTCGACCCGAGTACATTTGGAAAATAAAAAGGAACTAGACTAGACCACTAAACAACAAACTAGACCACCTCAAAAAATGAAGTCAAACTCCGCCATTGCCTAAAAGACTGATCAAAGTTAATCATTTTGGAAAACTTGCAATTAGTAGTCTAGAGTGAAAGGAGGTCGACACTTTCCACAATCCAAGGTCATTGCATACCACAAGTCAATAGCTTACCATGGTACTCACAGGTCGGATCTATCAGTTGAACCATGCTTCGTTGGCATGATTGTAGGTATTTGAAAAACAATGAGATGAACACTAGGAAGGAAAAAAATTCTGGGATCAATTAGCACTAGCACTAGCAGCAATCTGATTCTCCACTGATGCAAAAAATCCATTGACTTGTTTACGTTTCCTTATACGAGAAGGACACTTGGACAATAGATCTTTGGCCTCTGTGAGTCTACCTTCTCCAACAAATGATTCAAAAACATGAAGATAGGCTGAATGGGACTGAGGACTTTTCTTTCTCCATGCCTTCAGGAATTTCTCAGCATCCTCCACAGTACCAGACTTTGAAACATACTGCACAATAGGTTTGATGAATGGGGAGTAATTGTGTTTACGCATCAAACAAAGAAGGTCAATTGCATCCTCAATTTTTTCTATTCCCAATAGGTTTTCAATCAATCTCTCATATGTACGTTGCCTAGGAGATGCGCCATGATTCCTAACCATCTCTACAAGAAACTTGTACGCATTATCTATTTTCTCTCGATTAAGAAAACTGTCAACCAGAACGCCTATAGCATTTGCATCTGCGTCGCAGCCCTTTTGGGCCATCGTAACTAAGCAAAGTGACGCCTTCTCTACTTCATTGGCAGCACAATGCCCTTGGATCAAGATGGACCAAGTTTTGTTATCAGGGATGCAGCCACTAGATTCCATCTCCTCCAACACCTTACATGCTTCTTCAACCCTCTTCATCTTACAAAGTCCAAACACCATTTGACGGTAGGTGGTGTTATCCGGTTCATAGCCAGCATTTCTCATAGTCTTAACAATATTTTCTGCTTCATCAAATTTCCCAGCACTTGTCAAACACTGGTGGATTCCATCATAGATTTCCTTTGTGAGAGTATGTCCTGCGGATTCATATTGCTCGGCTACCCTGAAAGCTAGTTCAGAATTTGGCGAATCATTTGTAGCAATTGCATTTAAAAGGACACAGCAATCACGAGCCGATGGCTCATACGGACCATTCATCATAACCTCATAAAGCTTGACAGCATCCTCCATCATCTGATTCTTCACAAACTGCATTTTTATATTCATATAAGTATCAATATCCAATTCATGATTCACACTCTTCATCTCCTCAAGAACACTCCAAAACTCGTCAACCGAACCAGGCCTAGCAAGAACTCTAGCAACTGCATTGTAAGTCACTGAATTCTGTTGAAAACCAGATTGCTTCCCAACCCAACAAAAGAACTTGTAAGCCTTTAAAGGACAAATCCGAAGCTCTTTCAAAACCCGTATTACAAAACTATCCGAATATTTAATTTTAAGCTCCGCAAGTTCATTCATAACCTCATCACTCCATTCAGATCCTGAAATGATACCAACCACCTTAGTGAAAACACCTTCCCTTACATTTTCCTTAAGCATTTCCTTAAAGAAGGTTTTAAGACAAGCAAAATCCCTATTCAATTTCTCTCTTCTAAAACCCTTTAAAATCATTGTATAAGTCACTCGATCAAGATAAAACCCTTTTTTCTTCATCATCGTTAGAGTAACCCAAAATTGATCAATTGTAACCTTATTAGCTAAAATCCTAAGAACTAGGTTACACAATGAAGAACTTGCCAAAAACCATTCTTTCTTACAGACCCAATTGAAAAAGCAAGAAGCTTTTTGTGGGTCATTCTCCAAATGCTTCAAAATGTAAACAACAGTTTCGTGGGTCAAAGACGGGTAACATTTTTCTAACTCGTGTTCAAACCCTTGAGACCAAGCGTTGGTCAAAACAAGGTCTACAATGGAAACTGGTTTCGAAGAAAAATACCGTTTTTGTTGAGTGGTTGGGAAACGCAAATCGTGAAACGGAAAGGGGGTGAAAAGGGGTGGTGGAGTATAGGGAGAGAAGTGAGAAACCTGGTGGTTGTGATTGAGTTGGGGCGAGCGAGTTGGAGTGACTCGGAGAGGGAAGGACGAGTTGAGGAATCGGAGGTTGGTAAGAGTTGCTTTGAACCTTTTCATAGCTGATCGGAGTGACGACGCAGGTGGCGGAGCAATGTATTCCCATACAAAATCATAGGCGAAATCAAAATATGCTTCATAAGGTAGTTACATGTTTTTTTTTTTTTTTTTTTTTTAAAGTTAAATGAGTATTGTAAGACCCATTTTTATTGCTTTTCATTTTAATGTGTATAATTATGGAGTGTATTTGTTGAGGTTTCAAAATAGAGAAAAAGTTTTGCAAATTTTAGAAAACAACTATAGTTTCAAACTTTTTTTTAAAGATATTTACTAATCAAGGTTTTTAAGTTTGCATTTAAATAATTTATAATATAAGTTTTGAAGATTTTAAAATACTTTTATGAACTTTTAAGATTTGAAAAAAATTAATGAACTTTCTCTAAAAAAATAAAGAATAAATAAAAAATAATAAATAAATTATAAAATTAATATAAGCCTTGTGAGTGTAAAAATTTTACACCATTAATAGATAATAAATAAATTATAAATTAATATAATCTTGTGACTGTAAAAATTTTATACCATTAATGTTTCACAATCATTCATAAATCATACTTTACGTATGTGATTAAGAAGCAATCATATATATATAGTTATGAATAAAAAAAATTATGCATATCAATTAAATTTTTAATAAAATTAAATATTAAATATTAAAATTTTAAAGTGATTTTAACTATATATTCTCTCATATGTAACATTTTTCTAGAGTATTGTCTCATTCTAGTTGATATAAAATAGAGCACTAAAATTATCACTTTATAGGATTTATCTTTGTATCGCATTCTTGCAACTGCTCTAAAATATCACACATTCATAAGATCAGGTATTTACATCAAATTTGTTTAGGAAAAATATTATTTTTTGTCCCTTAACTTTACCTCGGGTCCATTTTGGTCCCATAATTTTTTAAATGTTCAAATTGATCCCTTAACTATTAAAAACAGAGCACATGAGTCATTTTCGTCTGTTTCCTTCAAACGGATGTTTTTGAATGAGGACGTAGCAGATGACATGGTTGTTCTTATTTTCCACTCTCTTCTACATTTGTGTTATGTAATTTCCTGAGATATCAAATTAGGGGTTTAGGGTTCTGTCCAATCTCATCTCAAATTGTTCAATCAATTTCAGAAATTAAAGGAGGTAGAAACAAGAACAATCAATTTCCTGTGTTTATCACTGCACTTTTGCTTTTGGGGAGAGATGCTACCTTGATTCCTTTTTCGGTATGACTTCCACCTTAACTGGGATAACAAAACATCCTTCAAAAGATTTGGAACAACCTCAGGCTTTATAACAAGTTTATCCTTTTCAGAAGAACCTGAGTAAATATCAATCAGCTTAGATTGTATTTCATCCTCCATAGATGTTGCGTTTGCTTTTTTATTATAAGATATATATAAATTTTCTTTAATTCTTAAGCTTGATAATGATAATTTAGAAGTAATAATATTTGCTTTTTCCCTTACTTTAACCCACCGATTCCTTGTCTAATCTCGAGAATGTCGTAAGTTACTAAGACCAAAAACTGCGACTGTCTTTTCACCTGCAAAAGACATTAACTTAAGAATTAATAAGACACCTAAAATTCCACGAACCACAAAAACTATTAATAAGTTTACACCAGCAACTAAAATGCAATAAAGAAAAAGTTCAACGAAAAGGCCATACCTGGGATAAATTTTATGTTCTATATTTCATTTAAACTGAATAAAGTTATGTTCTTTATTTCATTTTTGAGAAGAAGTCAGTTAAAGCTTAGGTGTTAGTTTTTTTCGAATTTTCTTTATTCGTGTTAAATTCACATCAGCACATTATAATGTCACTTTGACTTTTTTTTTACTTTGACTAACGAACTCAGACGGAAGGACTAATGTGGCACTGTTTTAATAGTTAAAGGATTAATTTAAACATTTTAAAAATTAAAGGATCAAAATGGACTCCGAGAAAAAGTTATGGGACGAAAAAAGGTATTTTGCCATTTATTTATTAGTGCATAATCTAATAGATGTTCAAATGAAGACTCTCAAGCGCATCCTATACTACATTAAAGCCCTTAGCCAAAGTTGACGACATCTTTGTTCATCATCAACTATATGTGTGTGTGTGTGTGTGTGTGTGTGTGTGTGTGTGTGTGTGTGTGTGTGTGTGTGTGTGTGTGTGTGTGTGTGTGTGTGTGTGTGTGTATGTGTGCGTGTGTGTGTGTGTGTGTGAGAGAGAGAGAGAGAGAGAGAGAGAGAGAGAGAGAGAGAGAGAGCGAGACAGAGTCAGAGATTTTAAATCGTGGGGTTGTACATTTTTAGAATATATTGTGTTACACATAAATATATATATATATATATATTATATTTATTTTTTTTTAGATTTATTTTTAAAAATATTAAATATTTTTTTCAATTCTTTTTTTGTGTGTAATTTTCTCAATTTTACTGTGGATAATAATTATATGAGATCTTTTCTTTCTTTTTTTAGAATAAGAAGGGCCTAAATTCAAAGGAAAACGAAATTAATCAACTATAAATCGGGGGACTGCAAACACAGAGCTAGCCCTAACAAGAAGTTCAACAATATCATCGGGATGATCATGATAAATTCGTATACCGAGATCGTGATGTAAGCTCCTATTAGTCATACCATATGTGCACTAATTGGCCTCTCTATGAACATGTTTTATGACAACTTCCCAATCTTCATTCAAACAATCTTTAATTTTATGAAGAATGCCACTAGCTTCCTTAATGCTTGGCTTCTTGGATTTCACTGCCTCTGAAATGATTTTGCTATCCATTTGAAGCTCGACCTTCTCGCAACCATTCCACATAAAAAATCTGAGGCCCTAAAAAACTCCCAATAATTCTGCAAAAAGGCTATTACATAGGCTGATGTTCTTGGAGAAACCTCCAATCCACTTGCCTAAGTTGTCCTTAAAGCGGCCCCTACAGCCGACCTTCCCATTATTCTTGGCAACTCCATCAACATTTATCACACTCTAACCCTATTAAGGCGGTATCCAACTGATTTGGTGCAGGGCCTGATGATTGACAGTAATGCGCTGATGAAGCCTCGTGCTCGTGTTATACTGCATCTATGTGTTCTAATATTATTCTCCATTACTGTAGTCATGACATATCTCTCATCATAAAGCTTATTATTCCTCCAAAACCATAACGAATGACAGGTTATTACCCACAACAAATTCCAATTTTCCATTGTGTCGTATCCAACATTTTTCTACAAGTTGAGATTTATCCACTCCTTTAAGAATGCATCAAGGAAAATAGTTCAGTCTGCAGAATTTACCAATGATATCCAGACTATATTAGCCTCAGTGCAATCTCGCAAGACATGAATTTTGTCTTCAACTTCCCCCGTACAATTTGAGCATAGATCTAAGGTTCATGTTAATATTTTGGGAGAGCTTGCAAGCATCCTAGAAACTAAGTTGAGGTTGAGTTCTACTTATCATCTGCAGATCGACGATCAGACAGAAAGGACTATTCAATCTTTAGAAGATTTGTTGAGAGCTAGTGTTTTAGAGCAGTGAGGTAATTAATACAGTTACTTTTCACTTATTGAGTTTATTTATAACAATAGTTACCATTCTAGTATTGGAATGACACATTTCGAAGCTTTGTATGGTAGAAGGTGCATGACACCTTTGTGTTGGTATGAATCAGATGAAAGTGTTATGCTTGGACCAGAGATTGTTCAACAAACTACTTAGAAGGTTAAGATGATTCAAGAAAAGATGAAGGCATCGCAGAGCATACAAAATATTTATCATGATACGCGAAGGAAACCTCTTGATATTCCAGAAGGAGATCGTGTATTCTTGAGAGTCACTTCAGTGACTGGTGTTGATCGTACATTGAAGTCTCGGAAGCTCACACCTCATTTTATTGGTTCGTATTAGATCCTTAAAAGAGTCGGCGAAGTTGGCTATTAAGTAGCCTTTCCATCATCTCTTTTGAACCTTTGTAGTGTCTTAACTTCGAAAGTATATTCTTGATTTATCCCATGTGATCCAATTGAATTATGTGCAAGTGAGAGATAACTTGATTGTGGAGGCATCACCCTTGCATATTGAGTATCGAGAAGTGAAGCACTTGAGAAATAAGAAGATCACTTTGGTTAAAGTGGTGTGGGAAGGACCTGTTGGAGTAGGCGTGATGTGGGACCTGGAGAGCCATATAAGGGAGTCTTATCCAAATTTATTTCCTTCAAGTAATTCTCGATGGTAGAATTTTTTTAAGTGGAGAGTTTAACATCCCGCTTTTTATTTTAATATTTTATTTGAGTTTTATAATGCTTTAATTTAACGTAATTAGCATTATTGAGATTGTTGGGTTTTAATAGAAATTATCTATATTTTTTTTTATTTAAAATAGTGTAGAAAGTGATAATATGTGGTTTTGGGAAGAAAATAGATTTTTAATTATATTAGAGTGGTAAATGGAATTAGTGAGAAGTTGAGAGAATTTGGTAGAATTAATTAAAATAAAAATAAAAATAGGGTTTTATTTAAATAGAGAAGAGAAATAGAATGAGGAGGTTGTTTGGTGAAAATAAGTTGTCAGTACAGTTGAGAGCGAAACCTCGGCAGAGCAAGATAGGAGAAAAGTCTTCATGGCCAAAACTTCAAGCTTTTTCCACAAATTTGAGGTAAGGGGGTATTTAAACATGAAGAATGAAATTTTGGCACGTAGTGACATATGTCGAATATGATGTCAGGACACCAGAATGTCGAATGAAATGTTAAGCCATTGTGACAGAAGAAATAAAAATACACAACTAAAAGAAAGATGCAGGAAATAAATAACACAAGGAAGTTGTTAACCCAGTTCGGTGCAACGTCACCTGCATCTGGGGGATACCAAGTCAGGAAGGAAATCCACTATAATAATATTAGTTTGAAGGTCTTATGTTAACAACCTCTGATTTATAATTTCTATCTAAGACACTCTTAGATGAGAGATCCCTCTCATTCTCCCTCAATCACA